GCTTAGGGCTTAGGGTTCAGGGTTTAGGGTTTAGGGTTTAGGGTTTCGGGCTTAGGGTTTGGGTTTAGGGTTTAGGGTTTAGGGTTTAGGGTTTAGGGTTTAGGGTTTAGGGTTTAGGGTTTAGGGTTTAGGGTTTAGGGTTTAGGGTTAGTTTAGGGTTTAGGGTTTAGGGTTTAGGGTTTAGGGTTTAGGGTTTAGGGTTTAGGGTTTAGGGTTTAGGGTTTAGGGTTTAGGGTTTAGGGTTGAATGTGAAGGTCACACCAACAAACCGGGTGTTAATACCGAAAGCTTTTCGGCCGGGATTTTGGGCCAAAAGCTTGTTTCACCTGAACCCTAAACCCTAAACCCTAAACCCTAATCCCTAAACCCTAAACCCTAAACCCTAAACCCTAAACCCTAAACCCTAAACCGGTTTACTCAATCAGCTACTAAGAGAAGGCGCGGACGGTAAGGACCCCCGAGATGCCCCCTCCGATCAGATCAGGTCGGCTTGGCATCCATGCGGCTTTCAGGAGGTTGAGGGTTTAGGGTTTAGGGTTTAGGGTTTAGGGTTTAGGGTGTAGGGTTTAGGGTTTAGGGTTTAGGGTTTAGGGTTTAGGGTTTAGGGTTTAGGGTTTAGGGTTTAGGGTTTAGGGTTTAGGGTTTAGGGTTTAGGGTTTAGGGTTTAGGGTTTAGGGTTTAGGGTTTAGGGTTTAGGGTTTAGGGTTTAGGGTTTAGGGTTTAGGGTTTAGGGTTTAGGGGAACCCTAAAACACAAGCTAAACCCTGGAACCTAAAAACTAAACACCTTTGGGGTGGAGGCGGGGGGGCCTGCAAAAGCTCTTTGCACTCGGCGGAGAAGTCCTTCACCTGGCGCAGGACCCCACATTGCGGTTTAGGGTGTAGGGTTTAGGGTTAGGGTTTTAGGGTTTTGGGGGTTTAGGGTTTTAGGGTTTTGGGGTTTAGGGTTTAGGATTCAGGGTGCAGAGTTTAAGGTTCTGGGATTGGGGTTTTGCAGATTTGTGTGGTTCGGGGCGGTTCGGGGATTCACCAAGGCCCAAGGCCGGCCACGAAGAGGTGCAGTGCTGAGGTTTGCCAAAGCGACTGCAGTCAGACAGATGTCTACCTTAACCCGGGAATCAGAGGGGGCCCCCCCCCCTGCTTTGTTTAAAGAGGAGGTTTGGAAGCCCCCTAAACCCGAAACCCGAAACCCTAAACCCTGGCTCGTAGACAGGAGGAGCATCAAAGCTACCTCCCTCCCTATCGCAGGAATCAAGCTGCCATGGGCACAACTAAATAAAGAGAGAAGGTAACACCAAGGCTTATAAGGGAACCTAAACCTCCCCAAAAAGGGAATAAGGGTACTACTGGGCATCCGAGTAAAGAGATAAGGTAACACCAAGGCTTCTCGTCACGCCTATACAATGAGCGAGAACCTTGCAGAAACTGCCGCGCAGCAACGCACGATTACATGGGGCACGGGAAAAAGAACCCTACGAATGAACCCTAAACCAAGGCCACACCGCCACACCGCGGCACGCGCCTGCTCCTGCGTGACTTGCGAGAAGTGCTCCTTCACCTCGAAGGAAGAGAGGCAGGATTTAGGGTTCAGGGTTTAGGACTTAGGGTTTAGGGTTTGTCGAGTTTCGGAATGTGTAAGCTGTAGGCAAGTCAGGCCAGAGGGATGAAAGCGTTCCTGGAGGCTGCTTCACTTTTTTAAAAGGTCAAAAGTCCTAAAGAATAGGAAGTTGGATGGTCTCCCTTCTGGCCCTACTACAGCGCTCCCCCACAAATCTGGTGTATCCACAGGGGCTTAAGGCTTCGAACACACCACCTCGAGACAAACCATTCCAGCCGGCAACGGAAGTGTCTTAAGAAAGTGTCTTAAGAAAGAAAAGGGAACTCGGGTCCCGGGTTTCAGGTCGTCCTTCACAACATGGGGTGTAGGGTTTAGGGTTCGGGGCTAAAGGTTTCCTAGACCCTGAACCTAAAACCCTAGGGTTGAGTTTCAGGGTTCAGGGTTCAGGGTTCAGGGTTCAGGGTTCAGGGTTCAGGGTTTAGGGTTGAGGGTTTAGGGTTTAGGGTTTAGGGTTTAAGGTTTAGGGTAAAACTGAGGGCCGGACCCGCACCATGCGACGATCCTTCGTCAAAGCCTCATCCTGCCAGGGGGGGAAGTGGCGGTGCTCAGGGTTTTTTCGGGTTTAGGGTTTAGGGTTTAGGGTTCAGGGTTCAGGGTTCAGGGTTCAGGGTGCTTCTTAGTAGGGAATTTGGGCATGAGGTACCCTATATCCCCTATATATAGCCGTTAAGGATTCCCTACTAAAAACCAGGGGGTCTTCTGGGCTTGGGGTTTCGGGCATAGGGTCTAAGGGCTTAGGGTTTAGGGTCGAAGGGTTTAGGGTTTAGGGCTTAGGGTCTACGGGTTTAGGGTGTGGTTAGTGTTTAAGGTTGCTTAGGGATAATCAATGCCAATGTGGAGTGAACCTCTTGGTGTGAAGCGTCTTCTAGCGCGGAAAAACGAAATTCTGTTCCGGGCTTGGGGGTTTAGGGTCCAAGGGTTCAGGGTCCAAGGGTGAAGGGTCAAGGGTTTAGGGTGTAAGTTTTAGGGTTGAGGCCCACTCCACCTCCAACATACTCATCCTAGTTTCGTGCTTGGCGTGGTAGGTGGTTTGGGCTAAACCCTAAACCCTAAACCCTAAACCCTAAACCCTAAACCCTAAACCCTAAACCCTAAACCCTAAACCCTAACCCCAAAACCTAAATCCAGGGTTTGAGGGTTAGGGTCTTTAGGGCTGTCTGGCAGCGTCCTTCAGCAAGCGCCACATCTCCGACAGAGCCTTTGCATCCTCGTACTCCTCCCGCTTTGGGCTCTTAGTGCTCAGGGCTCTGAGGTTTTAAGGGTTGACGGTTTAGGGTTTTAGTGCTCAGAGCTGTAAGGTTTTAAGGGTTTAGGGTTGAGGGTTGTAGTGTTCAGAGCTGTAAGGTTGTAAGGGTTTAGGGTTGAAGGTTTAGGGTTTTAAGGCTTAAGGGTTTAGGGCTTTAGTGTTCAGAGCTGTAAGGTTTTAAGGGTTTAGGGTTTTACGGCTTTAGGGTTGTAAGGGTTTAGGGAGCAAGCTTCTGGTCTTGCGGTTTTTGTTTTGCAGTTGGGTTGCAGGGCGCTAGGGTTTTCGGGTTGTAGGTTCTTCTTTGAGGTTCCGGGGGTACGGGGTTTTCAGGATACATGCTAACCTCGAAACCCCTAAACCCTAACCCCGTAAACCCTAAACCCTAAACCCTAAACCCTAAACCCTAAACCCTAAACCCTAAACCCCTAAACCCCTAAACCCCTAAACTTTAGGCGGCGCTTGGGCTCTAGGTTTCAGGGGTTTAGGGGTTCCGGGACTCAGAATTTGAAGGAAATGCCTTGCATCGTGCGTGCGGTTGGGGTTCGGGGTTCGGGGTTCGGGGTTTGGGTTTTGGGGTTTAGGGTTTAGCTCCCTAAACCCTAAATGCAGTCAGCACAGGCGCCCTCTGAGGGAACGCAAAACAATCAAATATCAGGGTTGGGTGGGGGGTTCAGGGTTTGGAGATTGGATGTTCCAGGTTTACGGCTTAGGGAACGTAGGCTTCTTGCAGTTTAGGGCTTGGCTTTTAGGGTTTCTGGGCTTTGAGGTTTAGGGTGGTTGGGTGTAGAGGAATAGGGTTGAGCCATGTGCGCTTTAGGGCTTGGGCTCTGGCAACGTCAGCCTCCGAGGCTTTGGGGCACGAGCCCCGAAAACAGAACCTAAAGCAAACCCCAAACCCCAAACCCCAAACCCCAAACTCTAAACCCTAAACCCTAAACCCTAAACCCTAAACCCTAAACCCTAAACCCTAAACCCTAAACCCTAAACCCTAAGCCCTAAACCCTAAGCCCTAAACCCTAAACCCTAAACCCTAGGCCTGCATCTCATACTGGCAGTTGTAGAGCTCCAGGGTGCGGTAACGCTCACGGACGTCCTCAACCCCAGAGGCTTTCTCCAGGGTCCAGAAGGGCAGGGGTTTGGGGTTTGGGGTTTAGGGTTTAGGGTTTAGGGTTTAGGGTTTGGGGTTTAGGGTCTAGGGTCTAGGGTTTAGGGTTTAGGGTTTAGGGTTTAGGGTTTAGGGTTTAGGGTTTAGGGTTTAGGGTTTAGGGTTTAGGGTTTAGGGTTTAGGGTTTAGGGTTTAGGGTTTAGGGTACTTCTAGGGTGGAGGTTCGTGGGCCGCTGTAAGTAGGTTTTTAAGAACCCCTTCATAGGGCTAGAACTATAGTCGCAACACTTGACGTCCTACTTGCAACTGCCCCTGAACATCAAAATACACAAAAGACCGAAAGATCCAAAGCCTCAAAACTCTAAAGCCGCGAAGCCCCAAAACCCCAGAATTTGTAGAGTTCAGGGTTTAGGGTCTGAGGGTTTAGGGTTGAGGGTTTGGGGAACGTCGGGTTAGAAGACGCTTAATCAAGGTTGCATCTGTCTAAAAATGAACCTTCAAGAAACGCTCACTCACGACCTCTCGACCCGAAACCCCTTTTCCTTAGGGGTGAGTACCATAGCCCAAAAAAAGGCTAACCTTTTCTGTAGTAGGATTCTGTACAACCAAAAACGGTTAAAGGCTAACTACCCAGCCCCTAAGTTTTCAGAACGTAAACAGCTGTCGGTTCGGGAAACCACCCTACTTTAGAGTAAACCCTGGAAACAAAGTAGATACTTTTTATAAGGCTGTAGGGTTACACTACAATATCACACACTGTACTGTACGAGTCTATGGGGGGTGTTTAGGCTCTCGCATCGGACAGCACGAGTTAAAGAGTGAAACTACTCAGTACTATGGAGCGCTGCTTAGGATATCTTAAGATGGCACTCTGGCTCACCGAGATCTGGGCTCCAATGTCAGGTAGACAACACAAGGCAACACAAGACGATGCGCTTGCCATTCAGAATGTGTAGACCTGTACTAGCTTGCGGGTTTTGTACCTTACGCTTGGCGGCCCCTCATACCGGAGCCCAGGTGGTGTTCTTCCGATCATAAAGGGCCGTACCTACGGCCAGGCGGCGGAGGGTTCACATCTGAGTTTCCAAGAAGCAGCTTGACCACGGCCTCTTTGCTGAGCCCGTTCAGCAGGAACTGTACCGCGGCATTCGCAAGGGCATGCTGGCCAGCAACTGCAACACCACTTGCTGAGAAGGCCTGGAGTAGCCCGCAGCTTCCCCAGTAGAGCCCGAGCCCAGTGGCCGCACAGCCACCAAGGAATTCTGGACAGCCCAGCTTCCGGATTAGCTTCTGGACGGCAGCCACCGGCAGCATGTACATCGCAAGATCGAGACCCATGCCCGCTGCGAAGCCAACAATCTGAGACAGCACCTTGTTCTCAATGCCCTGGGTCAGAATGGTGAGTGCGTACAGGTTTGCGCAGAGGCTAACCCAGAAGTCGTTCCACCAGTTGATATATTTTTCCAGCTCCTTGAAGTCAGATGGTGGGCCATTGCCTTGTGGCCGGAAGTACTGCCAGAAGAGGAAAACCATCAAAGCCGCTTGGATGACCCAAAAAGCTCCAAGCGACAGCTGGCAGCCGAGCTCCTGAAAGATGAAGTCGTGAGGACGGCAGGGCGCGTCACTGCGGATAAGGCTGCCAGCACCGCACATTCCGTGGTACTCAACTGTGTCGATTCCAACGAAAAGCACAGTGCAGTCACCTAGGAAGTTTCCTCCACTGATGGTCAGGCCGGATTTGCCTAGTGGAATCTCTCCGCAGGCCTGCATGGTTGTCACGCAGTCGCCGTAAGCGAAGCCGTGGGAGGAACTCCCGCAGTAGTCGTGCCAATCGAAGGCCCGGGCATTTGCAGCTACGGTAAGGTCGAATGGTGCACGGAGCAGCGCCACAACTGGATCATACCAACTGCTGGCCATGGCCTTGTGAAAGCTTTCCTGTGATCCTGTTCCTTGAGCCGTTGCCATTTTGGGGGGTTTTAAGGTTTTGGGTTTAGGGTTTTGGGGGTTTGGGATTTTAGGGGCTGTGGAATTTGGGAGTTTAGGGAATGACAGTGAAGAGAGCGACACCCGAAATAGCGCATAAGCATCAACACAACAAGGACGGCAGTATCCAATCCTTGGGCAACCAATGCCTGGGTTCTTGTTAAGTTTAGGGTTTAGGGTTTAGGTTTTGACGAAGGATTCGAATGAGACCTTGAGTTGTGGAAAGTCTAGATGTATAGACCTTGGAGTGGAGCTCTAGGGATTTAGACTGTAAAATCTGCGATGGCTTGCCATTCATGTAAAAGCTTACAGGAGAACAAGTGCCTGAAGCAACGTGGTGCGCACACCGCAGGCAGCCACAAGCAAGGACCGATAAGTCAAGCACTGCTTGTTTTACGCTGAAAAAGTGAAAGCGTCAGCCTCCTTCGCATGCCAGGGTAGTTCAGAGAACCCCGTGACAACACGATTCTGAGAAGGAGAAGAACCATGGATGCTGGGAGCAGCAGTTTACCCAATGGTTATCCTCAACAGGTTATGGTAGCCCAACGTCACGCTGCGCGAGCTCTGGGAAGGAGAGATGTCCCACGGTTTAGGGTTTAGGGTTTAGGGTTTAGGGTTTAGGGTTTAGGGTTTAGGGCTTTGGGTTTAGGGTTTAGGCTTTAGGGTTTAGGGTTTAGGGTTTAGGGTTCAGGGCTTTAGGGTTTAGGGTTTAGAGTTTAGGGTTTAGGGTTTAGGGTTTAGGGCTTAGGGTTTAGAGTTTAGGGTTTAGGGTTTAGGGTTTAGGGTTTAGGGTTTAGGGTTTAGGGTTTAGGGTTTAGGGTTTAGGGTTTAGGGTTTAGGGTTTAGGGTTTAGGGGGGTTTAGGGTTTAGGGTTTAGGGTCTCGTATGGAACAGTGGGTGATGATTCTGGAAGGCCGCCTACGCCGAGACCCGTGGTGGATGGAGAAAGTGGGCTCATGAGAGCTGGTGTGGACTTGGAGCAGCTGCTTTAGGGTATAGGGTATAGGGTTTAGGGTTTAGGGTTTAGGGTTTTGGGTTGAGGGTTTAGGGTTTAGGGTTTCGGGTTTCGGGTTTAGGGTTTAGGGTTTAGGGTTTAGGGTTTAGCGAACAAACGCAACGTACGCTGGAGATGCAGTACACATATGCCGACCATGTGGATGGAGGTCCTGCAGTTGTACGCTGGGTTACGAGACTGACAGACTTTCTGCGGACGACGACGCGGGGTGGTAACCTTCAGGGTCGGGCTCTAGAAGGTTTAGGGATTACGACAACCCCTAGGGTAAAAGTAGCTATAATAGGAACCCAGAACCAAAAAAAGTATCCAAGTATCGTACCCCTAAACCCTAAACCCTAAGCCCTAAACCCTAAACCCTAAACCCGATTAAAGTATTGTACTCCAAAACCCAGAACAGCTCCTGCATCCGCAGCTCCATGTCCATGGACACCGCCAAGATCTGCGAGATGACGCTGAGGATGAACTTCCTGGAGGTTTAGGGTTTAGGGTTTAGGGTTTAGGGTTTAGGGTTTAGGGTTTAGGGTTTAGTGTTTAGGGTTTAGGGTTTAGGGTTTAGGGTTTAGGGTTTAGGGTCTAGGGTTTAGCGTTAGGGGCTTAGGGGTTTAGGTTTAGGGTTTAGGATTTAGGATTTAGGGTTTAGGGTTTAGGGTTTAGGGTTTAGGGTTTAGGGTTTAGGGTTTAGGGTTTAGAGTTTAGGGTTTAGGGTTCAGGGTTTCGGGTTTCGGGTTTCGGGTTTAGGGTTTAGGGTTTAGGTCTCGTCGGCTTCTGCTTCTCATGAGTATCCCAGACTTTTGGGAGGATCCAAAAAGTAGAACCCCCCAACTCGTACCCTATACTACTACCGGGTCATTCTCAGGATCCTCCCAGGGGTCTGGGATGCTTGTTATGCTCATTCTCACTAACCTTGCTGATACGATTCCTGACGTTCAGACTATGCACCGTCACATGATGTACACTGGGCATGTTCGTCATACTAACCTAGGAAACCCTCAACCCTGAACTCTAAACCCCCTAAAACCCGAAACTCCTAAACCCTAAACCCTAAACTCCTAAACCCTAAACTCCTAAACCCAAACCCCCCCCCCCCAAAACACAGGCCGGGGAGTCAGTTTGTCCAGAGAGTCTGGCGTCTCCTGAAGCTGCTCCTCGGCCGGGCAGGCCAGGATCTTCGGGGGGTTTTAAGGTTTGGGGTTTTAAGGGTTTGGGGTTTAGGGTTTGGGGTTTAGGGTTTAGGGTTTAGGGGTTGCTTTCGCTGACCACGGGTGAGAAAGTGGGAAGGTGTCAGCGGACTCAGGGTTTAGGGTTGAGGGTTGAGAGTTTGAGGGTTGAGGGTTAAGGTTCAGGGTTTACTGTGTGTAGGGTTGAGGGTTTCGGTCCTCGGACGCCAAACCCTGAGCCCTTCCAAAACACCCGCAGTTCCCAAAATGACCTGGGAACTATACTAACTCCACGTCCCCCTTACGATTTTCGGTACAGGGGGCTTGGGGGTTTAGCGTTTGGGGGTCTGGGGGTTTGGGGGTTTTGTGGGTGGGGGTTAGGGGGTTTGGGGGTTTGGAGGTTTGGGGGTTTGGGGGATTTGCTGTTTCAGGGCTCGGGGTTTGCTCTGGCGAGCCATTCTGGGGGGCGTACCCCCTAAACCCTAAACGCTAATTTCTAAACCCTAAACTATAGCCCTAAACCCTGAACCTAAACCACAGAGGCGCACTTGAAAGTCCACGGGCAGTTGTCCGTAAGGTTGCTACATGTTGCTACCCTCAGCCCTAAGCCCGAAAAGCCTGCAACACTCTACAGCCCGAAAACCCTAAACATTCCAAAAAACCTAAGACCTAAACATTCCTAAAACCCCAAAACCCTAAAACCTTCCTGAGGCCTCTAAACCCTAAGCATCCCTGACGCCCCAACACCCTAAAACCCTCACAACCATCACAACCCTCAAAAACCCTACCCTAAACCCCAAACCCTAAACCCTAAACCCTAAACCCCAAACCCCAAACCCTAAACCCTAAACCCCTCGTGCACTAAGGCCGCAGGCCCGGAACTCGGTGATCTCCGACTGAATTCTCGTGAGGTCCTGGAATTTAGGGTTTAGGGTTAGGGTTTAGGGTTTAGGGTTTAGGGTTTAGGGTTTAGGGTTTAGGGTTTAGGGTTTAGGGTTTAGGGTTTAGGGTTTAGGGTTTAGGGTTTAGGGTTTCAAAGGCCGGTGGCCTCTTTATCTGTTACCCTTCCACCGCAGAAATTGGCCCCTAGACACCCTAGTAAGAACCCCGAATACAGTGACCCCATAAAACCGAAAGCCTACCCAAAGAGACCCTAAACCCTAAACCCTAAACCCTAAACCCTAAACCCATATGATCTAAAAGCGCTAAAGCGAACAAGCCCTGAAGACTCGAATCCTCAAGCCGGTGGGCCTGAAGCCTGAAAGGCTAAACCAAAACCTACTTCTAAAGCCCTGAACCCTAAACCCTAAACCCTAAACCCTAAACCCTACTGTAAGCCCTGGACCCTGGGATAATGAAGTAGAAGGCCTTGAAGGCCAGCTGGCGCAGGATGTCGCCGTAGCCCGCCACCCAATCCATGGCCTTCAGGCCAGGCAAAGTGTTCGGGGCATTGAGGTAACTTCGGGGTTTAGGGTTTAGGGTTTAGGGTTTAGGGTTTAGGGTTTAGGGTTTAGGGTTTAGGGTTTAGGGTTTAGGGTTTAGAGTTTAGGGGTTGGGGCTTGGGGGGTTAGGGGTTTAGGGTTTAGGGTTTAGGGTTTAGGGTTTAGGGCTGAGGGTTTAGGGTTTAGAGGTTTAGGGGTTAGGGGTTTAGGGGTTTTGAGGTGTTGCAAGGAACTGAGGGTCTTACGGCTTTCGCAGTTGAAGATTTGAGAGGAGGTTTAGGGGATGCAGACTGGGGGAGCGTAAACTGCCAGGGTTGGGTCTTAGGCGACAGAGGTGCGAAAGCACCCTGGCCCGTGCGCCAATGTGCTTTTAAGACATTGCGGTGGGACCCTAGCTTAGGGCTAATTCTCGGCTTAGGTTCCTACATCATGTGTGGGCTTCCGAAAATAGGGTTTAGGGTTTAGGGTTTGGGGTTTAGGGTTTAGGGTCTAGGTTTCAGGGTTTAGGCTTCAGGGTTTAGGGTTTAGGTTTCAGGGTTTAGGGTTTCATTTTAGGGTTTAGGGACGAAGGTCTACATGGGCAGAGAGAAAGAAAGAAAGAGAGAGAGAAAGAGACAGAGAGAGAGAGAGAGAGTGCGAGAGAGAGCGAGCCTGCGTGCGGATGGCCGCCACAATGGCGGTGCAGTCAATGCGCACGAAGCCGATGTCCTGAAATTTCTGGCAACTGCAGGAACGCCACTGACCCTAAACCCTAAACCCTAAACCCTGAACCCTCAAACCCACACCCCATGTGGGTTTGTTGCGGGCTTGGCGTTCATGTCAGAGGAGCCTAAAACTCCTAACCCTCCGACCCCTCGGCACGTGGCCAACATGGGGGTTGACGATATGAGGGGTACCTTCTTGGGGTACTTACTTTTCACAAGGGAATTCTACTGTTTGGGGTCCTTTTTGTAATAAGGGAATCCTACTACTTGTGGTCTATATTAGGGGTACCTACTCGGGGTACTTTTTATAAGGGAATCCTACTATTCGGGTTCCTGTTTATAAGGGAAGCCTCTATTAGGGGTACCTTAGGTACTTACTTTCTATAAGGGAATTCTACTGTTTGGGCTCCAAATTTGATAAGGGAAGCCTACCATGTGGGGTCTTTTTTGGGGGATCCCTTTTTTTCGTAAACCCCCGCATCCGGCCTTCTCTGGCGGATAGGCTGCCAGGCTGTCAGCCAGGCTTTTGTAGACCTTGCGGGATCAGGGTTTGGGGTTTAGGAGGGTTTCAGTCCAACGCTCTGAACGCTCTAAACCCTCTGAACCTTCTAAACCC